TCTGCATTTATGAGATTCTTGCAAAATGCAAAATCGTCTGCTTCAATTTTGCATATTTTTGTTGTTGAAGTTTCTGCATTTATGAGATTCTGCAAAATGCAAAATCGTCTGCTTCAATTTTTGCATATTTTTTTTTAAAGTTTCTGCATTTATGAGATTCTTGCAAAATGCAAAATCGTCTGCTCCAATTTTTGCAATAATTTTTTTTGAAGTTTCTGCATTTATGAGATTCTCGCAAAATACAAAATCGTCCAGTCTGCTTCAATTTTTGCAATATTTTTTTTTGAAGTTTCTGCATTTATGAGATTCTTGCAAAATGCAAAATCGTCTGCTTCAATTTTTGCAATATTTTTTTTTGAAGTTTCTGCATTTATGAGATTCTTGCAAAATGCAAAATCGTCTGCTTCAATTTTTGCATTATTTTTGTTGTTGAAAATTCTGCATTTATGAGATTCTTGCAAAATGCAAAATCGTCTGCTTCAATTTTTGCATTATTTTTGTTGTTGAAGTTTCTGCATTTATGAGATTCTTGCAAAATGCAAAATCGTCTGCTTCAATTTTTGCATTATTTTTGTTGTTGAAAATTCTGCATTTATGAGATTCTTGCAAAATGCAAAATCGTCTGCTTCAATTTTTGCAATATTTTTTTTTGAAGTTTCTGCATTTATGAGATTCTTGCAAAATGCAAAATCGTCTGCTTCAATTTTTGCATTATTTTTGTTGTTGAAAATTCTGCATTTATGAGATTCTTGCAAAATGCAAAATCGTCTGCTTCAATTTTTGCAATATTTTTGTTGTTGAAGTTTCTGCATTCATGTATAAAAGCTAGGTCAAAAAAAAAATTATGAATAAAATTTGTTTCAGTCTGGCTTAAAACAAATACTACTCTGGGTACGCATAATTGAAAAAAATCAGCATCATTATAATCACGAAAAAAAGCTAAAACATAAGTGAAAACAAAAATTTTAAATTTGCACAGTATTATCTTGCACTCTTAATTTTTATGATCAACCCCGTGATTAATTTCTACTGCATAGCGTGACCACTTCGTTAATTCTTGTTTATTAGTGGTGCTTGTGTATTGTAGTTTGTCTATTTTGATTTTTCTTGGATGATTAAACTCATAAAATAATTTGACCTGAACTTGACTGGGCTGTTAAAATAATCTCCACAGTTTAGGCATCATTATAAACCCTACATGAGCCTTTACCTCGCTGACAAATCTATTAAATCTGATAAATCTGCTTTGTCCAACAGAATATGGGATAAAATGATTGGTGGTTCCAGTGCAATATTAATATTTACTGCACTGTCACTGCTTGTTACATTCAAAAGATCAATATTAAATAAGAAATCACCAGATGAAGTCCTTAAGTTTTTTGAAATGGTAAGTTCTATATAAACATTGTAAAAAAAGTAAGGCAAACAAAAAATTGAATTGGAGCCTATGCCGACATGGCATTTTAATCTGATTGGGCTCTCATCACTACATGTAGTATTTCCCATCATATTGTGTTACAAAATGTATGTACTAGATTGCATTTTTATTAACTTTGCACACTCAGGAGGGTCTGTCTGTCTGTCTTTCTGTCCGTCTGTCTGTCTGTTTCACCATTATCTCGCTGGCTGACTGGCATACAACTTGATACTTCTCTACTGAACATCAGACCTACTTTTTTAAAATCAAGCTCTGCATATGACTTAGCTAATTTGCATATCGATCAACTGTTTTTTGTTTGTTCATTCTGCATCATAACTATAGTTTTTAATTTGGTTTGATACTTACCACCTTTATAATAATTTTCATTATTTCGCTTTAGACATTCTTGGAAAACTCGCATCAATTTCAAATTTAAACTAATAGAATTTCGTGTGTTGTATCACGCCATAGCTTAACTTGGCTAGATTATTATTTAATATTCCGTTCATGTCTGGTTGTTTTTTAGATTCCACCTGATAATACTGATATGGTAGTCAACAAGGCCTTGGAACTATGGAACAAATATGGCAGTCCTCTAAAGCCAGATATATAACATTATGAGTCATCATTGTTCCAATCTATTGTACGGGCATTGTCTTCTAATTGCGATATCCCTGTCGAGAAGTCTTCAGTTGCGCTAAAATAACTTAGACTGAAGTTTGAGTTATGATA